CTCTGAAGGCTAACAGTGTGCTATATTATAATTATGTATCTTGCAGGTATCTGATGGTGCTCTACGGTGTTTTGCTTCTCTTGCTGATCGTTTTACTCGCCGTGGTGTTGATCCTGCTCCGTTAGCTGAACATGGGCTTAGTGGGGAGTTATTAGAGAGGTTAGCAAGCGCTGCAGCATCTGCAGGAGAGAAAACTGGTGGCAGTGGGGCAACACCTGACTCCAAAAGCAACAGTACATCAGTGTCTACTATTGTTAGTCTGTTGTCAACACTATGCCGTGGATCACCAAGTGTTACCCACGTATGTTTTGTCCAGATGAATTGTTTTTTTTTTGCCCTAACTTTTGACATGGGTTATTTAGTGGGAAACCATGGACACTACTGGAAAAACTTGAACAGCCATTAACTTAAAAACTTTTGGTGTCCCAGTACAAGAATTGGTGGGGTTTAATTTAAAGAGACTTGTATATTTCTCTTAGGCATTCTACTGCTCAATGAATCAACCTTTTACTTACATGTACAGTGTACATTTACATTTAAGTGGCACAGCAGATACAGCATGAATTTACTTAGAAAAATTGCAGGTTGTCAGGATAATTATCACCGGAAAGTACCACTCACTACTCATACATTATTGTATAACACACAGAGACTGACATTGCTGTACACAGAAACACTTTTATCAGTAGTACTCCTCCACCAACACATCTTATATTAATATTAATAGCAAGTAAGTAAGACCTCACTGAACCCTAACCTATATTGTAAGGTATATTAAAACTTTCAAAATAGTCTATAGTGTAAATCTATGCTATTCTGTTACAGGACTTGTTAAGAGCTGGATTACCTGAGGCAATTGAAAAAGCTCTTCAAGGAGATGAGAGATGTGTTTTAGATACCATGAGACTAGTTGATTTACTCCTGGTGCTTCTGTTTGAGGGACGGCAAGCTTTGCCAAAGTCATGTGTCAGCATTTCTAAGGGAGGAATTGCTGGTCTTCGGAGATTTGACAGTTCAAATGAGAGATCCCACAGACAGCTTATTGACTGTATTAGAAGCAAGGATACTGATGCTGTTATAGATGCAATTGAAAATGGTGAGATGCACTTTTCATTACATACTTAATAGAGTACAGGGTACAGTACCGCTAAAAAACTGTGGTAGTTTCTTGGTGTTGTGGAAAATTTGCAATAACCAATAATAATATTGATGTACCCAGACCACAAAACAAAAGGTAACCAACAATGGTTTCAGCAACACTAAGAAACATCCAAAATTCTTATTGACCACCCTCTTATAAGACACATTTCTTATTACACACTGCACTTGCTTTAATCCCTGCTTCATATGAATTTCATTGTAAACTGCTATTTAACGTGCATATAATTTCAGATTTTGTTATGAACACCTCAGTGTAATTCCCTTTGTGCCCAATTTTTTTTCCAAAAGACTTAAAAATTTACTGTACACTCTTCAGTCAAGTTTAAGGTTCATTTATGTCAAAATTCCTAGAAGTGTATTTACTTTAAATGCTATAAATATTTTAGGTGGATTTGAGGTAAACTTTATGGATGATGTTGGGCAGACATTACTCAATTGGGCATCAGCATTTGGAACCTTAGAAATGGTAAGTTATTTTTCAAGGAAAAAAGACTGAATTGGGTTAAAATAAATTAATAAAGCCACATTGTGATTGACAGGACAAGCCCATTGGAGTGGCTTTAATAATTAGAATATTAATGATGATTATGGTGTGTTTACGTAAGTTTCTCACTGTTGTGTTTGGCCATTACTGAGATTGTTTTGTGAAATATCATTAGGTGGAATACCTTTGTGAAAGGGGAGCAGATGTTAATAGAGGGCAAAGGTCATCATCTCTTCATTATGCCACTTGCTTTGGAAGACCAGCTGTTGCTAAAGTGAGTGGAAGTTTTATCAAATAATAATATTATTGTGTATCTGTGCACAATGTGCCATATGTATGCTGGCAATGTTAAGAGCTACCACATTGGTGTTTATGTAATACATGTATTTATAAAATAACTAAGATAGTACGCGCGCTCTGATTGGCCGAGAGGAGTGTTTGCATGAGAGTATGTAAACATGGTTGTGGC